AGCAATGGGGCGCCAAAATCACTGACTCGAAGGCGGTGTTCAAGGAACTCGATAAGAACGGGTCTGGCGCTGTGACGTTTGACGAGTTTGCCGCGTGGGCCTCGGCGCTCAAACTTGACGTTGACGGTGATCCGGACAATGTGCCAGATAGTTAAAGGAGCCAGTGAGCGCAAGCAATTTTTGTGCAACTCTATGTATGTATGCTTAGCCGACGCATATGGAGCGAAATTTGGGTTGTGAAGGTACGAAGAGGTTTAGAAGGTTTTTACATGTATTGATTGTTTTGATATTTTTGCTTGTATATTCTGTCTCGTGTGGCTTGTGCTTGCCGTGCTGCGGGAGTTTTCTGGTTTGAGAGTCATTCTCCTTGCTTGCTTTTGCGTCTGTGCTTGAATATTGTGCAACAGTAAGGAAGCGTCTGCTAAAAGAACTAGCAATGGGGGCTTGTGGATCGAAGCAAGATACGACAAATAAGGACGGCAAGACAGCTGAGGATCGCAAAGTTGCGTGGGAGCGCATCCGCCAGGCGATTCCTCGTGAAAAGACCCCCGAGGCGAAACAGCGCCGCATCGACCTGTTCAAGAAGTTTGACAAGAACGGCACTGGCAAGCTGAGCTATGATGAGGTGTACGATGGCTGCCTCCAGTTGCTGAAGCTTGACGAATTCACGACGCGGCTGCACGACATCACGAAACGAGCGTTTAACAAGGCGAAGGATATGGGCAACAAGGCGGAGAACACGGGTTCCGAGGACTTTGTCGAGTTCCTGGAGTTCCGTCTGATGCTTTGTTATGTATATGACTACTTTGAGCTGACGGTGATGTTTGACGAGATCGACAAATCCGGCAACATGCTGATTGACGAAAAGGAGTTCGAGGAGGCCGTACCCAAGCTTGAGCAATGGGGCGCCAAAATCACCGACTCGAAGGCGGTGTTCAAGGAACTCGATAAGAACGGGTCTGGCGCTGTGACGTTTGACGAGTTTGCCGCCTGGGCTTCGGCGCTCAAACTTGACGTTGACGGTGATCCGGACAATGTGCCAAATAGTTAGTTTGGGTGAGTTTTTTTTTGGTTTCTTGCTTTTCGTGTGCTGGGTTTATTTATACAACAATAAAGAATTGCTTTTTTCGAAGAGTGGTAATGTGTGTTTGGTTGGTTGTGGTGAGACAACTGTCGAGGAGTGCATTTCAATTTAAAATATATTTAGGCACGACTGGGATGCTTTTCTTTTGTGTCTGTGAAACTTCTTTAAGTAAAGGAGGATAAATCTTGCGTCGTCCTTTGTTCTTCATGGACGTGCACCTCGTAGCACGCGTGTGAATTGCCCAGTTTGTGTATGGGTGCTGAAGGTGGATGATGCGTGGGATCTAAGGTGTTTTTGTTTTATGGGCTATCGCGTTCTTATTTCCGTGTGGGGGTCATGTGAAATTTTGTGTGACGCGTGCCTATGGAGGGCTGAAGGCCTGGAAAAGATTAATTTTTTTTTTCGTTTTGCCTGTGTTTCACTTGCTTGCTTCAGCGTCCAAAAGAAAAAAAAACAAAGCAGATGAGGTCAAGAGATCAGATTCCTAACGTTAGTGTGCGTGCAAAACGACGGGAGAGTTTTCTTGTTCTTTCTTCTGTCTGTTGGAGGCAGGCACGAAGAGGCCAGTGTGTGTTTTGTGGCTGAAATGATGAATATGAGCATGAATATAATGATAATGAATTAGGCGACAGAGGGGGCGTTTCTTCCCCGTGTTTTTTTTTTTTTGGGACCACTGCTTGCGTTCTCCTATCATTTCCTTCTTTTTTGTGCCTTACTTTTTTAAAATGATCATGCGTTTGGTTTGTGAGTGAAAGCTTTCTTCTGGGTCACCAGAATGGGTTGCTGCAGTTCAAAGGATGTCTGCGATGCGATATATGTGGAGATGCGTCGACGGCTGGGTGTGGAGCCAACAATTAGGACGGATGCCGTTTCCGCCGCGAAACGTACCGTAGAGTTCGAGGAAATGATATCACGAAATACAGGGTGCAACAGCAGCACAGAGAAATGTGTAGCCGTTGGGCAGCTGCGGCTGTATGATCGAAAACATTGGCGGATGTCTTCTGTGCATCCGTACAACGATTTGCTGCTGGCAGATGTGGTGGAGGACGTCGCACGTCACCGTAATGTGGCTTCAGGAGGATGCTCTGCCGAGTTGAGGCGCTGTGACTACCGACCGTGGCTTCTTTGTATGTGTGAATTCTATCGTGTGATGCTGGTCTTTGAGAAGGCGAAGCTGCTTAACTCCGGAGGCTGGGAGAAGACCGTACTCACAGAGAATGGCCTCAGCAAGTGCTTACCAGCATTGACGTCTGAATTTGCGTCGGCCTTTGCATCGAATCAAGGACCTGGTAGCGTGTTCGAGCCGCCTTCATCAGCTTCCGCAGCAACAGTGCTGCAACAGGCGTTGGAGTGGTCGATTAATCCCTTGAATGCGGGAAAAGGAGGCGGAGACGCAGCGGCGCGTTCTGTCCTATTGGCGACATTTGTGCGCTGGCTGACCCTACGGTATGTCTGCACGTTGTTGAATGACGAAGATGCGGTGCCTCGTGAGGCAACACCCAAACGGAGTTCGCGCGCCGCCAGTGCTGACGATGAGAAGGGTGATCCCACAGAGACACGGCCACTATGGGGTGATGTATTTCTGCAAAAACAGAATATGCTGAGGTGCGCGTTATCGGATCGCTCGCAGCTGGAGAAGTTGTTTGACTCCATGACGCACGGCACGCGGCTGTTGTCGGAGGCGGGTGCCATGGCGGGCTGTTACCACCACTTCAGCATGGCGGATCTGTTCGAGGATAAGTCTGTGCACGACGCACTCGTGTCGGTGGCCTTCCGCGGGGTTGTGCAGGAGGAGATAACACAGGACGACGAGGACACGGCGTGCATTTGCAGCCTTCCTGTTTTTTCCCGTTTCCTCGAGGCATACACAGAGGTGCTGCAGCTTTACTACCATGCCGTCATGCAGGAAGCCGCACTTCACGGGACGGAGCCTACGCTCGGGATGCCTGCCCCCGATCTTGAGAGAGAGGCACTCACACGTCTGCTGGAGTCGATGAAAGGCGAAAAGGATGAGAATAACAGCAGTGAAAAGGAAAATAGCGACAATGACTGCAGTGAACTCGCGGATCAGTTTTTGTCATCTCTCGGCACGGGCAAAGGTGATGCTCGGCAAGTGCCTTTCCTTCCGTTGGCCGATGCATGGGTGACGCAGCTTCTGTTGAGCGGTGACAAACCCGAAGTGAAAGATATCAGTGAACTCTACGAAGCCCTTGGACTCGGAAGTGACATCCGAAAGGAGGCGATTATGTCTCTTCTTGTTGACAATGGCTGGAACGCCAACGAGGCGGAAAGGACATTCAACGCCATGCAGGCGGATGTGGGGTTGCCGCAGTATTGCACAGCGCAGGAGTTGGCCTGTGCCTGCGCGCGTCAGCAATGGTTGGCGGAATGCGAGGAACGAAAGCCCGCTGCAGTGGACGATGCTGATGGGAGAAGCACCCCTAACGAAGGCAACGAAACGATCCGGATTCTCGAGAATATTCACCTCATGCGTTTGCTGCACGGTGTGTACGGCATCTTTGCTGCAGTACGTGTGTTGGAGACCATATCATTGGAGGAAGGCTGCACACCTTCAATGAAGTCCGATGCCTCCAAGTGGGACACCACGACGCTGCTGCCTGGGCATGTGCGTGCACTTGTGCTCCGCGAGGCTGGCGCCACGCTAGGGGTTCCGAGCTTGACTGCAGACTCTGAAAACGGGGCTCCAGGAGGGAGAGAAGTAACAGGACCAACAACATCAGCAGAAGGAACAGTAGTAGGAGTAGCGACAGCAGAGGAAGAAAACAAAGATGCCCTGTGTGTCACTGCCGCACGGCTTTTGCAACACATATCCCGCCGATACGTGGAGGAGAAAATGATGGGTTGGAGACGCGATGCCTGGGAGCGTTTGCGGGCGGCGTGGCCCCTCAGCGATGAAGATCAGCGACACGATGTATTCTTCCAAGCACTCACACGGGAAGGAGAGCGAGAGGTGCGTGCCGAAGCTGAAGGGACTGATGATAGCGCTCCCTGCCCACCCTTTGACGAACTGTACGAGCAGTACGCCTCCGATCTTCTTTTCCTATTACCACAGGAGGAGTTTCGTGCGGTGTGCCGCAACGCGGTGCGGGCGGTGGTTGACACCACTGACGCGTGCTTCACTGCAGACGAAGTCCCCGCATTTCTGCGGTACACAATGGGCTATCTGCAGGTGATGCTTGCGCTAGGCGTACCACACGACCCCTCCGCTCGTGACACTACAGCAAAGGTTTCATGGGAAGAGCTTCAGGCCTGGCTTCTGCGCGAGGCTAAGATAATGTTAAATGAGCCTCTCAGGGCTGCCTTTGCGAAGTGTGCAGGGACAGACAGCAATGGCGTTGCAGTGAAGGATGTCGCGGAGTGGTTTGGACTCCGGGAGGCGCGAAAAGGATCACTCGAAACACGGCTTCGCGTGTGGTTGCGTCAGATACGAGCTCACTTGCCGATTCGGTACACCGCTGCCGACAGAAAGACACGCAAGAAAATCACCGACACGATCAGTGCGGCCGATGACTATATAACAACAGAGGCCCTGACCGAATTCCTGTCGTTGCACTACGGCCTCTGTCGAGTATGGCCACGAGGGATGGGGAGCAAGTTTGTGATGTTTGCCGTGCATGCGACAAACAAGATCCTGCTGCGTGAGGACCTGCAGGGTAGCGAGCTGCACCGAAGTGACTTGCGCTTCCTTCTAATTTTCATTTACACCTACCTTGATGTCTTTCTCCACGGGGAGTGCTTGGAGGAGAAGGCCGCGGAGACACTGGAATGTGAAGAGGAGACACCAACATCCCCAGTGCCACTGTTGTGTGTGTCATGGGCCGATAGTAAGATGCGTCTGGCGCTGTGCTCACTGCTTAAGGGGCGGGGCATGGACGAGGAACTCCTCCTCTCCCACGTCCTGTGTGATGCCGCGGGTCACAACGACCAAGACGACGACGACGACAAAAACAATAATGACAACATGAAACTATTTACGGTTGCCGACGTGGCCAATACTGTCGCCCGTGAGGCCGTTGCCGCTGCACTGCAACGGTACCTGGACAAATGTGCAGCAGCAGCGGCAAAACATCACTCAGACTCCATGTGGGATCTGCTGCGGCAGCGCCTTCCCATCGGTAAAACGGAAGCACAGCGGCTGCAGCGGCAGCGGCTCTTCTCGAGCATAGACCTCCAAGGGCGACATCTGCTCACACTTTGCGATCTCCACCGTGGAATGTTTGACATACTTAAACTGTACGATTTCCGCGAAGACCTGAGCCCTGTTCTATTTCGAGCCTTCTTTGCGACGAAGGAAGTATCATCATCAGCGCAGAACACTGTTTATTTATTATTGGATGGTGAACAATTCATCACCGCTGCTGAGTTCCGTGCCTTTTTATGGTATGTATACACGTACTTTGAGCTGTACTACATGTTTGACACCCTCTGCACTAGTGCTGAGAGCCAGCTGAACAAGACAGTGTCTGTCGAGGCGTTCGCGGATGCTGCACCACTGCTTAAGCGGTGGGGTGTTCGCATAAATGACGCCGCGGATATGTTTGCATCCATCAACCGCAAATGTAAAGAAGGCGACCCAATGAATTTCATAGGGTTCGCCACGTGGGCGTCGCTGCACCACCTGACACCGAGTGGCTACTCTCATGAGGAACCAATGGATGATGATAGTGATGAGGATGATGATGTTATTGCTGCTGTGGAGGAAGCGAGGGAGGGAGAAGGACGGATACAAAACCAAGAGAATGAGGGGGTATACACGAAGCAGGCGACTGATGGTGCAGCGCAGCTGGCAGTGTAGTACACACTCACAGTCACACTCACTCAAACATTCTTTTCTTTCTCTCTCTCTCTCTCTCCCATTCTATTCGAATCGTTTCGCTTGCGTGTCGTGCTATTCTTCTTCCTTCCGATGCCATGTACACTAGTGAGGCCTCTGGCTATTTTATGACAAACAAACAGATACATCCACCCGCAAAGTGAGAGGAGGAGGAGGAGAAAGCAAATCGAAAAGGAATTGAGTCTGCTCCATGACACCATGCTCCACATCACTTTTTTTTTTTGTCTCGTTGAGTTTGCCTATTTTCCCTTTTCGCCTTTTTTCTTATTTGCCTCGTTTGCGACTCGTCGTCGTCGTCCTCACCCCCTTCTTAGAACACAAGCGCACTCGCCGTTACTGCGACAAGCATCTCACCTGTGTGACCTACACCTCAAGCAAGCGCGTGCCACTTTGGACAAAACCGCCAGGATATATATATATATTTTTTCTGGTTTTGTTTCTTTGTTTGTTTCTCAAGCTCAAAGCACTTTTCGCCGAGAATAGAGAAAACAAGTCGGTCTCAAGACGCAGATTCTTTTTCTTTTTCGTTCTGTTATCGGCTGTCTGATCATCACTTCCTCTGTGGACAGACACTGATAGGAAAAGAGGCCACAAGACAAGAAAACACACGCACACACACACACACACACGGATATATGGGCTTGCTTTCGCCCTCAGACAACAATAAGCCGGCGACGGCAGCAAATGATGACAGGGCTCGTACTTCTGGTGTGGAACCGATATCGGAAGTGCTTGCTGTGAACTCAGCGACGAACTTATACCCCAGTGATGGAGACACGGATATGCAGCTGAGCGGGGAGACGCCACCAGAGAGTGCCATGGGCGAAGAAGAAGACGACGACATAGGGTCCGTCAAAACCGCAGGTGCAATTCGAGAGAACACAAATATATGGAAATCAGCCTTCCACATCTTCAAGGCCAACGTGGGCACTGGCGTGTTTCTGCTGCCGACCTTCTACAAGGACGCGGGCTACGTGATGGGTGCTATTCTCGGTGCAGCCATTGGCGCCTGTGTCGTGGACGCGTCCCGTCTCTTACTCCACACAAAACTCCGCATTAATCGACCTCGCGTCGACACTTACAGCAGGATATGTGGATACGTCTTGGGTCGCCCAATGCAATGGGCCTTGTTTCTGGCCCTCATCCTTACGCAGTTTGGTTTCTGCTTGATGTATGTGCAGCTTACTGCCGGGACTATGAATGAAATGGTGAGTTTCACAGGATCCGAATTTATATGGATGCTCGCCGTTTTTGTCATCGTGTATCCGCTGACATGCTTTTCTGATAACTTGTCATTGCTTGCCCTTGCCTCTATTCTAGCTGCTGTGGCCGTGACATTTGCGTTGGTGGCAACCCTTGCACGTTCCGGAGTTGTAATTCACACAAACCATGGGATCAGCCCCTTCACCAATTTGGTTGGAACGAATCTTCCCATTGGCTGGTTTAACAACCTCGCCAACAACATGATGGTTCTGGAGGGTATTGCCATTGTGCTCCCTGTACACTCTGCTTGTAACCAGAAGCAACACTTCCTGCTTATGCTCTGCTTGGTACTGGCGATTGTGGTTGCATTTTATCTCCTCTACGGTCTGGTCGGCTACCTGGCCTACGGCAGCACCATTACCACCTCTCTCGTCAGCAGTATGCCTGAGGATACCCTTTCTATCGTAATTCGCGTGACCTTCATTATCAACCTGGTCTGCACCTACCCCGTACAGTTCCAGTCCGCAATTCAGCTCATCGATCAACTCGCGAGTACACGCTCGCGCTCGTGGAAGGGACTCCTCATCCGTCTTGTTATCAACGCGATCATCACCGGACTTGCGATGGGCATCGGCTCCAGCACAGTGGACATCGTTGTCAGCTTCATCGGCGCACTGCCGGCCACCGTGATGGTGCTCATCCTTCCCGCGCTGCTCAACCTGCAGCTGGAGTACGCCGTCGAAAACCCCGACGAGGACCGAGGGACGCTCGCGTACTGGAAGAAGATCTTCACGCAGCGGCCGGTGTGCTCGTGGCTGCGCTTTCGCTGCTACCTGTACATCGTGTTAGGCGTGCTCATTATGGGGATCGGCACGTATAGCATCGCCATCACGCTGTAATAGAGGCGGATAACGCAAACACAGCGAGAGGGCGCGAGAGGCTGGTAGAGCGGGCTGGGATAGAAGGAGTGCTCGAGGCACGACAGGACACAACCACGAGATAGAAGCAAATCAAGATGAAATAATAGCAAAGCGAACAAGGCAACACCAGCAACAACCGAAAGGAACTCAAGAAATAAAGGGCGAGAGGAACAGACGCCTGAGTTGCCGTTTTTTTTTTCTCTCATACGGTGATAAATTCTTTTCTTTCGGGGCCCTTTTTCTTCTTGCACGTGTTCCTTCTGGCCCACAGAGCAACAAGGAAGGGTCCTGGCGAGGCACTTGTGTGCCATCGCGTCCTGTTGTCTTCAGATTTTTTCTTTCTTTCTTTCTTTCTTTCTTTCTTTGTGTGTGTTCACCCCCCCCTACCACCACGCACCGTCTTTTTTTTTGTTTTTTTTTTCTTGTTTTGCTTTGCCAACTGCTCCATGCAAGCGACGTACGGGAGAAGAAAGAATTAAAAACAAAAAAATGAAAGTAAACAGAAGCAAAATCAAGGGGAAAGAAAATGACGACTATGTGAAAAGTGGTAATGTGTGGTTGTGTGTATGTCTCT